TGGCAATTTTAGACACTACTGGGAACAAAAAATGTGTAATTGAACAGCGCAGAATTTGAGGTTGACTTTTAGATATCAGCAGAATCTAACATTAGAATAAGAGATAAAAGCAGGTAGGCTTAAAGTGAATTTCATATAATATAAAATATGACATTAATAATATATATACCATAATACGTAATACCAAAAAGCTGTAATTATATAATCTCTGGGTAATTTTTGAGCCAGTTAGTCCTTTGCAGGCCCAAATCCCCCCCCACACACACACACACATACATACATACATAAATTGTTGCAAAAAACATGAGGAAAGGGGTATTAGGTGAGATTAGGTATTAAGAGCTGCTGAATGGAAGGAGTAGAAATAAATAAGTAATGTGCCCGATACATTTAACTGGGTAAAGCCCTTTGGCCTACTTAGCAATCCACTTCTAAGATTCGCCTTATAACCCACACAAAAGAGAAGTTATATATTTCTGTTATATATTAAATATTTTTGATGTCCATTTATATGGCCGCATTATAACTGCTTGGATTTTCTTTAGGCATCTGGAATAGTTTTCCTCTCAATTAAATGTGCAGGCAACAGAATTCATTCTTACTTGCAAGGAGACACCACACTGTCCATGATTGTCAGTGAAGGATGGATAGATCCTTATTACCAGAAAAAACAAAGTTTCCCAATTCTCAATGGTCATTGAGAAATGCTAGGGTTTTTTTTGTCTCTAGTCTTTTTGAAACTAAGAAATCAGTCCAAAGTGGATGTGCCTGTTCGGTTCTGCTCCTGCTTTTCAGTGCTGTCAGCCAATTAGTGAGTTTTCCTAGCTATAACCCATGAAAAAAGGCCTTTTGCTTAATACACTCAGCAGAGCAGGCTAACGCTGGACCATTAAAAAGTGATCTGAAATAGGAAGGAACTGCAGTATTTTCTTCCAAAGATGAGATGGAAGAGCAAAATAAAGACTTTGCATGACTTCTAAATCAGATCCACTTTTTCAAAATTCCAACTTCTTTAAAGTTCCCCTATTATGGTAATGCAAGCAAAGTCCAACATTGTTTCAGACATGCGACTGAAGCAGCTATGCAAAATGCCACAATCATCTGCCTATATAGGGGAGGGGGATCAAGGCCCTGTGAAGCAGCCCTATGATGTCATTTTACTCCCTGATATGGGGATCATTGTGATGTTTTAATTAATAATTATTTATATGTAGTTTATTTTAAAAGTCTCATATCCGGTTGTGATAAGGTTTTGGGGTTGTTTTTTTTATAAATGCCATTTGTATGTGTGCTTGTGCATTCATGCCTAGAAATCAAATGTGAGTCGTAAAATGCAATGCAGATATGATGACTGGTTTTTAAAGTTTCTTTAAACTTTAATTGGAACAGCAATTTAACAATTATATACTTAAATATGCATCATCCCTTGCTCTCTAGGGACAGAACAAAGATACTGTTCTCACACTGAAGATCAGGCAAAAGCTTCTTTGATTTATCCCACACATTGATAGATAATAAGTAAAGCTTTGCAGCTTAAAATCAGTGTCTTGCAGTCACCATACACATTTTAAAAGAATCTGAGTCCAGACAATTCTTTTTCCCTCTCCATCCGGTAGAGCAACAAAAGTACCCCATTTACCCCTTCAAAGGGGAAAGAAACCCATGGTTTTTGCAGAACTTCCAGCTAGGCATACCAATATTTTTAACTTCTCTTGAACAAAACCTGCATCCTTGGGGGGAAGGGGGGGCTAAATCTCATGGGTGTTCCTTATATAGGACTTCGGGAGGAGTTGAAGCTATAGGACCTGGACTTCAGAACTCCAAATGTCCACTACATGGCAGCAGAGAGATACAGCAAATACTAAATGAGGCCCAATTTCGTATATTACAATAAACTACTATAAGATGTTTTATAGATGGCATTTACCACCCACGAGGTTAGTCAAAATGGGCCCAAATCTTTCACCTTTATGCTAGAAATGTAAAACAGCAATAGGGACCTATTACCACATGTGGTGGGAATGTCCTAAAGCTCGGGATTATTGGAATAGGATAAGAAAATGGTTGAAAGAAATATTAATGTTGGAGATAGAGCTAAAACCGGAACTTTTTTATTGGGCATAATACAGATAAATATAACAAGGGAATAGTTTACTTGATGTTGCACATCTTGACTGCCGCTAGATT